CACCAAGCCATACCATGCCCACCAAGCCATGCCCATAGAACTGGTAGTAAAAAGATTTCACCACTGCTCCAAATGTAAACAAAGTTTTGTCTGAAATTGATGGTTTTGTTGTCAATGCTCACACAAACTATTTAAGGAGTCTTAAAGGGGTCCAGGATAAAAGAGCACCATGTTTACCACACGCAACAAAGAAGAGTTTATATCTCTTATATCATTTTCATCAGCTATAAGTGATGATAATGCCAAAAGCAACAAAGATATCAGTTCATCCAATCTCTTGCCTACATTTGATCAAAATAATCCTAAGAAACTTGATCTGTGTCCAGTGCTGTGATCTGCCCTAGACACCAGGCTTATTTCTTGCATCCTGTATTTTATGGCCTCTCATAATTGGGAAAGGTGAAAGGTCAAACAATAGAGCCATTGTACCAGCCTTCCAATCCTTTTTAAATGCATGTGAAAGACAAATTTCCCTAGAGACTTGATGGAATATTGCCTTAGGCAAGAGAGAGAGTGAGATTGAGAGAGAGGGAGGGAGGGAGAGAGAAAGATCACCACAGTCCAGAAGATAAAAAGTGACATCAAAGGAAGCAATGGCCAACTGTCTATTTGGAGCTGTGGCTTGTTATAAAAGTGAAGGGAAACCAAGTTGGTAGCTTTTAAGAATCTTACGTGATAATAATATTTCTTTCACTAGGAGAAGCAGGATAGTGCTCCACTGCAAACCAAAGTTCTTAGTTGGCTTGATGCCCAGACAAAATCATTTAAATCATGTTTAGTGCCTCTAGTATAAGTCACTGCCTTTGTTTATAACAATCACAAGAGAATCAAAACTAATATATTCCTGAAATCAACCTTTGAATGTAAGCTCAGGATCAAAAATTAACATCATAAACTTCCAAAAGCCTTTAATTCTAGCAAATATCTTTAACCTTATCCCTGGGTCATTTTAGTGCCTCACTTAAAGAAAGAAATCCTACAAAACAAGCTTTGCAGTAGAATGTGAGCACTAATAGCTTTCTGAGTTTACAAAGCCAGCTTCACTTTATAAATTATTTTGGTACATGCGGGTAATAACTACTAGTAAAATTTGGAAATGTCCAGAGAACTTTATCTACTTGGGCAATATGTAAATTTCATAAAGCACAATCTAAAATGTTCTGTATGGACAGGGGTGCCAAACTCGATTTCATTGAGGGCCGCATCAGGGTTGTGTTTCACCTTGGGGGGCCAGGGTGGGCGTGGCCAGGGTGAGGATGGCCAGCTCGATGTCACTCATGTTGGGGGTGCCTGTGGTGGCCCAAGGACTCTGCCAGCGAAAAGAGTCTCCCAAGCTCCATTTTCGGCTGCGACAGCCATCTACAACCCTCTGCCAGCAAAAACAGAGCTCGGGAGGGCTGCACGCCGCCCTCCTGAACTCTGTTTTTGCTGGCAGAGGCATCACAGGCCAGTCCTTCGCTGTTTCCAGGGTGGGCCCATGGGCCAGATCTATGCACCCTGGATCCGGGTCCCGGGCCTTGAGTTTGACACCCCTGTGTATGGACAAAGAAAGTAGTGTCACCTTGATCTCGAAACTGCTTTCAATACATTAATCATATCTAGATTGGCTTTGAGGTTTAGGAGTGGATGATCTATCTTCTTCTATAATTGATTAAGTCAATTTTGGGAAATGAAAGAAATAGATCTAGCCCAAGGTCTCTACTCTGCAACTTTCCCCAGACTCTTTTCTCTCTCCATGCCTATTTAATGCTTACATGATATCTCTGGGCGAGGTCAATAATAGCAATAGCACTTAGACTCATATACTGTCTTATATTGCTTTATAGCACTCTCTGGGCAGTTTACACTGTCATCATATTGCCCCCAACAATCTAGATCCTCAATTTGACAACTTTAGAAGGATGGAAAGCTGAGGAAACCTTGAGCCCATCAGGATCGAACTCCAGGCTGTGGACAGAGATAGTCTGCAATACTGCATTCTAATCACCACACTACCATGGGCTCAGCCTGCAGGGGTTTGGATCCAAGATTCTTGAAATTCTCTATCTTTGATTCTGGAAAGTGTGCAATTTGGAGATCCTCTTAGAGTCTCAGAGTTTGTTAGAAGAGCAAATATCCAGGAGGGTCTTTACACAAATCTATCATGCCAATTGTGCCTATTCTGGATTGGGAGACTCTATTCACAGTGATTCCTGTCTTGCTCATCTATCATCTACACTACAGCAGCATGCTATACATGATAATGTTCTTGAAAATGATCCAAAGCTATAATTGGTCCATAATGCATTGGTTCAAGTAGACGTGAATGCACCTCAATTGCATTCAAGGTGTGGATTATCATCTCTGAAGCCTTCATGGCTAAGGCTATGTTACTTCTAGTACCACCTGTATCTGTCTCTGCTGTAACAGAGATCAAGCACAGGTATGCACACTTTGGATTACTTCCTTGAAACAGTATTGCCTTATGGGTCCAAGGAGGTTTGTCTTCTCCGCTGAAAACCTGCCCTATGGAACCGCATTCTTCCCATTTTTATCAGCTGGCCTCAACCCTTCT